GATAGCACGAAATATCTGTGGCACACACGCGTTACGCGATCGTAATCATCGAACGAATATGTCTTTAAATGACCTTCAGTAAACACGAACAATATCCGATCAATTTTGACCGTGTGCGCGCGCTAAAAACGGAAAATCTTCGATGACAAATCTAGGTTAATTTATAACAGATGTATATTTATATTTCTACGGTTGAATATTGAAATATTATGCAATCGTGACTAATGATAGAGTTAAAAATCGACACAACATGTGAATGCTCTCTCATCAGTTGACAGGCGCGCATCGATCAAACAAATCGAATGGGCATGTAGCGCACTTAACTTAAGCAAACACAAGGCGTTGTATTTGTTGAATTTGTACTGTTTTGAATAATCACACAGAGGTATAGACACATACGCAGATCGTTATGCATTTTTCAAGCTTCGGGCTTCGTAAACTATGCCATCAACGGGTTTTGCTTGCGTTGCGAGGGTGAAAACACATTAATTTTTTTTCGTAGCAAACAATCCGGTGTAACTTTGCCAGGTGTTTGGTGGAGATAAGTGCAAATGGTTGAATCGTGGCAGGGCGATGACATGCTATCTCGAAGGATATTCGGTTTGTGAGTTTTCGTCATAACTCAAAAGTGTATCAAAACTGAATTTCGTCCTTAATTTCAAAATAAATCAAGTATTTGTTAGTATATTGCATAAAAAAGTAATACACATTTAATAAATAAATTAATCGAATACAAACAAATAAGTTATGGGTGTTTTCATGTACGTTTGTTAACGTATTTGTTCCTTTAATGATTGTATGCTCGGCGCACGGCGGATTTGTCGCTAGTGTTTGCCCAAGCCCCGGCAGTTGTTCGGTGCGCCCTCGCGTCGCATTGTTTCGTCTATTTATGTGCACGTTGCACTTTACGAATGGCCAAACACCCGCACTGCACGCCATTCACCATTCTTCATTCGGCTACCGATTGCCGGCGCGTTGTCGGCTTGTTGTTCGTTCGAGAGCTTACACTATCCCGGCTGGAATACGCTTGATGGCCGCTGGGCAGTTACGATTTAAATATTTGCTCGTTGGCTTTGCGAAAGTTTGCATTTCGAGCCGGTTTGCATTTTGGCATTCAAGATTCGCCAGGAGTTTACATTATGATGGGGATCATCGATTGTTTATGCTTGATCGATAAATTATGCGGGTCATCAAGGGTGTAGCGTGTCTGATCGGTGCAATCGCGTGGATTTCATGTTTGTATAATTTTTACATTTTGGATTTTTGAATAACTTAAACCATGGTAGTTCAATAGACAATTTTGCAAATCATAAAAATTGCAGACGTGGAAAAGGATATTAAATACTTGGAGTATAAAACAATTAATTACATTTATGTATAATTGAGGTTATGTTGTCGACTCGCTTTATATTGCCATATTTTCTCAACAACCGTGTTGAAAACATTAAACTTTTAATAAAACAGAAAACTACATTTTCAAATTTTGGTCTCCTCGACGAAATTTTAGGGTAATCTATGAAATTTCTACGAAATATCAAAATGAAATTATTTTGTCTTTGTTTTCACTTTGAACTCGGCATATCGAGATACAGATATCGCAGGTAAATTCATCCCTACACGCTTTATTTTCCTTTTGTCTCTTTGCGCAGAACGTTTCCTCTTTCGCGCACAACTCGAAATATTTATAAGCTACATATTCTGTTTGTAATTAATACGCACTGGTACGTGGCTTACCTGCAAACAATGCTCGACTAATTCGGTTGAGAGTAAAATTAATTTTAATTCTCGCCGCGTGCGGTTTTATTTAACTCTAGACTTAAAATTATTTCAAACGCTACTTATTATTTCCTCTTGCCAGTTAAAATAACGCAAAGTATGTTTGCTTATTTTTACTCAAATTAAATAACATTGTGTTAATAAATTTTAAAGCTCATTGTTAAATGGGTTTAACACCTGAAAACGTGTATTGTACTCGTTGTACGTAACGAATTGGGGAATTGCAGCTTCTGTGTTGTGCGTGGCGTAACGTGGCGCGTTAAAATTAACCCCAATTCGTGTAACTACTAATTGCGTATTCATGAGCCACTGTTTTGCGTTCTGCGGCTGAATTTCAAAGCGAATTAAGCCGCACGCCAGACTTCGATGTTACACATCTTCTCTACCATATAATTTGTGGTATAATAACTCTTTGAGACAAGTGTCGGACGTAAATAATTAAAATAATAATTGAAGGTTTATTTAAGTATCGATTGTCTGTACATAAAGCGAGTTTTAATTAAATGACACCGCCCGACAAATAAATCAAATTTTGATGTCATTTTTAAAGAAATACGGATAGAAAATTGTTTTGTTTGTTTTAATTACAGCACGTTTTTAATAAATATCACATTCGTAGGTGTAGGCCGTATGAAATCCGAATTACGTGGATGTATCTATGCAGAAAAGCGCGGGTGGAGTGGCGAAACGTAACGCGCATATAATGTCTCGAGCGGGCCGTAATACGAGCGCGTCCTTGATAATGATAGCGAGGGTGCTCCGCAGCCGCACGCCACTTGACCGCGAAAATGGAAGGGTTGAATGCTGAATGTGGATTTTGAATTTTAATCAAGTTAACGAGCTACCTGCCGCGGGTCGGCAGGTTCGTTCTACTGCGTGCGGCATTCCAGCCGTGGATAACGAGCAAAATTCGAAGCTGGCGTTAAATTAAAAGTCATTTCGCCAGGTTTTAGTCTTTTCATGCTTAGAAAGTATGATTTGTGAAAAAATCATCAAAAAAATCTATAAAGTCAAAAGTATTGAGTTTGTTAGACTACATTAACTAAATTATTAATTTTTTTGATATTTTGATATAAAAACTATAGAAAATGACCGCGTTTTAAATTATAATTGACTTTAATAAAAATGATTAATTGATTAGAATATTTTTTGCCGTAAATGCAAAATAAAACAACTTGACTTTCCATTACCCGCAGACTGCTTGTCATTAAGCACTCGTCTCAACATTAGTTTTTGTAATTCTCATCAATAACAATGAACACTCATTTATTTTCTTCAGCCTGCACACAATCACTACTCCACATTGATGACTCGTCGTCCAACAAGTTTAATAAAAGCAAAGCAAAGATTTTCGTTTGTTTCGAGTGCACACAATAAAATAAATAAAAGTTTTACTTCTGCGTTGAATTACTGGTCTCGCCTTGTCACATTATATGCAGGCATTTACATAGACGCAACGCAACCAAACCAAAGCTTACAGACGGACAGACAAAAAATGTCATATAAATTATTTCACCAATGGTGGGATACCTACGTTCAATTTCACTATGTTTCAAGCTTTGCTTTTTGTTGATGTTTTTCGCATTGCTATTCTTGCGCGAATGCCGCTGAAAGATTGTGTTTGTTGCCGTGTGAAAGTGGCAAAAAACGAATGAGAACTTCAAGTACGCTGTGCAGCAAAAAACACAAGCGGTGAAATTCGGAAAAAAACACACGCTATAGATCAAACGAGGTGAAAAAATGTTAGAAAAATGATTCTATGACTACGATGATGATAGGCATTGTAAAAATTCCAGTAAGTATAAGGTATAGCGAACGATTATAACACACATTATTGTGTTTCTTTGTACGTAGTATCATACTCGTATACTGACATGAATTATAGTACTTTATTGCATTATAGTTGTTTGCCAGTTGAGGGCAATTTGTTCGTTAGTGTACGTTGGTGTGTGTGAAAGCACTTGAAAGTAGTAAAACTGGATCAGACGTAGTAAATTGCTTTCTATAAATAAATAAACCTTTTTTGCTACTTTGGCTGGCAGGGTCTTACTATCTTTAAGATTCCACACTCATGAAAAAGTGCTATAAGAAGTGTGGGTATCTGTTTATTGATTTTTATTATGGAATTTATCAAATTAGGCAATATAAGCTGGTTAGGGTTTAAATGACAGCATTGCAGTTGACACAACATTAAAGTGGTCATTGCTTGTGTCACGTAAGACCTGATTTTGTGTGCGGTCACATTATACGTGTTGAAAATCGAATTTGCGGGTTTGTGACACATCAGATCGTAAAGTGGACTAGGTGGTTTAATGAAAAGCCGATTCGTGGACTACCACAATTCTCTCAACAGTATCTAAGCGTAGAATGGAAAAAATGTCTCAATACACACAATAATTTTGTAGTTGCAAATAAAATTATTCTAGTGGTTTAGTAACTAAGTACATTGAAGTGCACTTAATCAGTAATCTTATCTCAATGTTTCCTAAAATATCGTAAAATTATTTTGGGCCTATATATAGAATATACTGATATAATTAGATTAGTTGTTGTAAACAATCCACTCAAAACCATAGTCCAACGCAGTTTTGAATCAAGAAAAATTCCAAAATGACAAAAGTTTTGTTGATTTTTGCTTTGTGCGTTGTTGTAAGTTACTAAATATTTATTACTAGACAAAAATCACTTTTAATTAATAATCATCTTATTTTATTAGGGCACTTTGGCTGAATCTAGTCCAAAAATTGCCAGAAATGCCTTTGAGTTGATTCGCATGCAACAGCATTTAAAGTCGGTTGATGGTGACATTGCAGCTTGCGCCAAAATTCTTGCAGGAACTGTTGCTAATGCTCTTTTTGCAAACTATTTATCCTTAGTAGGGTGTACTGAAGAATGTGCTGGAGAGTTAGTTGCCCTTCAAGAAGAAATCACAATTGTTGTCGAAGGTCTTGTTCAAGATGTTGAAGAACAAATTGCCGCTTTCCAAGCTTGTGGTGATGATCAAACATGCAAAGCTGATGTCGTAAAGGAAATCGCTGAAATTATAAGTGCTACTATTAAGGACCTGAAAGAAATTGTTAATAAACATTTAACCATCTTAGAAGACAAATTTCCAGAAGCTGCTGAGTGTGCTCGTGCTTCTTTCCAAACATTTGCTGAAACATTAAAGGCAGCAGAAGAAGATTTTGTGACTTGTCTTAAAAATTAAATGCAATAAACTCAAATTATTTTGATACTTAAAACAATATTTATTAACTTTTTATAAACAATTTAATTATGCAGATGCACAAGCGATAAACTCCCTTCGAGCAGTAATTAACTGATCATTAACAAATACATCATAAGCAGCGCGTGCGCATTCGCTCACATTTGGGCAGACATCCAGCATGCCCCCTAGACCGGAGTAGATAATTGAATTGATAGCTAGTATACTTCCTTGCAGCATGTTATCCATCGATTCAACACATTCCTCTTCACATGTTTTATCTCCATTACAAGCAGGGAAACATTGCATCACTTGTGTTAACCCATAATCGTACATAGCCAACATACCAAGGGTATCACTTTCAATTAATTGAATTTCTTTTGAACACTCATTTGTTGCACATTCTGTGACAATCTTATTATTCGCAATTTTCAATTTTTCGATAGACAATGCCCAAGTTTCATGGCATTTGTTAATATCAATGTCAACGGGTTTTAAATTGCGAGGAGGACCAGCTAAAGTACACTGTAAATTAATAACAAATGATAGGTTAAACACTGGTATTGATATTAAATTTATTACTTACAGTAATGCACAAGGCTGTGAGGAATAAAATTTTGTCCATTTTAAGTTTACTGTTATTTTGTTCAAATCGTCTGAATAACTAAAGTATTTGTGTACAACTTTACCAATTTATACCTCAATATGTAATCTGAATTACTTAGCATAATAAGAAGGGAGATAAGCTTCTTTGTGAAGTGTTTTTTGGGAAAACTTATCATTGAATTACTAAGTCGTTGGGTTTTTGTTCTATTTTCGAATTTGGTATTTCCAAGTGCAAAAACTGCAAAAATAAAGTCAAAGTAAGCAACCTGGCGACTGAAATTCAGTTGTGTACACAAATATACCTTTGAGAAATCAAGCCAAACCGATATACGATATAATCAGCTCCAATCACATGCACTAGTTGCTACTCTGCGCTTGTAACTACATATCGACCATGCCAAATAGTCATTTTAGTGCAATAGATACATATTACATAGATACACTGCACGTCCGGTTTTATTCAATTTGTCTGCATATAAACAAATAAACCTGTTTTGCTACTTTGGCTGGCAGGGTCTTACTATCATTAAGATTCCACACAGATGAAAAGGTGTTGTAAGAAGTGTAGGTATCTGTTTATTGATTTTTATGTTGGAATTTATCAAATTAGACTATATTAGCTGTTAGAGTTCAAATGACAGCATTGCAGTTGACACAACATTAAAGTGGACATTGCTTGTTTCACATAAGACCTGATTTTGTGTGCGGTCACATTATACGTGTTGGAAATCGAATTTGCGGGTTTGTGACACATCAGATCGTAGAGTGGACTAGGTGGTTAAATGAAAAGCCGATTCGTGGACTACCACAACTTCCTCAACAGTATCTAAACGTAGAATGGAATAAAATGTCTCAGTAAACGCAATTATTTTGGAGTTGCAAATAAAATTACTTTAGTTGTTTAGTAACTAAGTACATTGAAGTGCACTTAATCAGTAATCTTATCTCAATGTTTGGGCTTATATGTAGAATATACTGATATAATTAGATTAGTTGTTGTAAACAATCCACTCCAAATCATAGTCAAACACTGTTCTGAATTTAAAAAAAACTACAAAAATGCGAAAAGTTTTGCGGATTATTGCTTTGTGCGTTGTTGTAAGTTGCTAATTATTTATTACTAGACACAAGTATCATTTATTTAATATTACAAATATTTTATTAGAGCACTTTGGCCGTACCGAATCTCAAAATTGCTAGAAATGCCCTTGAATTCGTTCGCATGCAACAGCACTTGAAGTCTGTTGATGGTGACCTCGCGGCTTGTGCCTAAATCCATGCAGGAACTGTTGCTAACGCCCTTTTTCCAAACTATCTATCCCTAGTAGGATGCACAGAAGATTGCGCTGGAGAATTAGTTGCCCTTCAAGAAGAAATCACAATTGTTGTTGAAACTCTAGTTCAAGATGTTGAAGAACAAGTTGCCGCTTTGAAAGCTTGTGGTGATGATCAAACATGCAAAGCTAATATCGTAAAGGAAATCGCTGAAATTATAAGTGCTACTATTAAGGACCTGAAAGAAATTGTTAATAAACATCTAACTATCTTAGAAGACAAATTTCCAGAAGCTGCTGAGTGTGCTCGAGCTTCTTTTCAAACATTTGCTGAAACAGTAGAAACAGCTGCACATGATTTTGTTACTTGTCTTAAAAATTAAATACAAAAAACTTTTATTATTTCTGTACTTCAATCAATATTTATTATTTAAATTAGGCTGACGCACAAGCAATAAACTCCCATCGAGCAGTAATTAACTGATCATTAACAAATACATCATAAGCAGCGCGTGCGCATTCGCTCACATTTGGGCAGACATCCAGCATGCCCGCAAGACTGGAGTAGATAATTGAATTGACATATAGTATACTTCCTTGCAGCAGGTTATCCATCGATTTAACACATTCCCCTTCACATGTTTTATCTCCTTTACAAGCAGGGAAACAATGCATCCATTGTGTCAACCCATACTCGTACATTGCCAACATATAAAGGATATCACTTTCAATCAATTGAATTTCTTTTGAACACTCATTTGTTGCACATTCTGTGACAATCTTATTATTCGCATTTTTAAATTTTTCGACAGACAATGCCCAAGTTTCAAAGCATTTGTTAATATCAATGTCAACGGGTTTTAAATTGCGAGGAGGACCAGCTAAAGTACACTGTAAATTAATAACAATTTATAGGTTAAACACTGGTATTGATATTAAATTTATTACTTACAGTAATGCACAAGGCAGTGAGGAATAAAATTTTGTCCATTTTGAGTTTACTGTTATTTTGTTCAAATCGTCTGAATAACTAAAGTATTTGTGTACAACTTTACCAATTTATACCTAAATATATAATCTGAATTACTTAGCATAATAACATGTGTGATAAGCTTCTTTGTGAAGTGTTTTTTGGGAAAACTTATCATTGAATTACAAAGTCGTTGGGTTTTTGTTCTAATTTCGAATTTGGTATTTCCCAGTGCAAAAACTGCAACAATAAGGTCAAAGTAAGCAACCTGGCGACTGAAATTCCGTTGTGTACACAAATATACCTTTGAGAAATCAAGCCAAACCGATATTCGATATAATCAGCTCGAATCACATGCACTAGTTGCTACTCTGCGCTTGTAACTACATATCGACCATGCCAAATAGTCATTTTAGTGCAATATATACATATTTGCTCTCAGTAGCAATACCCAGAAGAAAGTTTTTTGTTTAAATATTAATACATGTCCTTAAATTTGAATTCAACACTGCACTTCCGGTTTTATTCAATTTGTCTACATAGTCGACTTACTTGGCTTCACATATTAACTATAATTTACAAACGCTGGCCCCAAAGCAACCAAAATGCACTCGGTTGGCCAGTTGCAGTATAAGATAGTATTGCGTCTGCAGCAGCGCGGAATGTCACAAACCAAGGACTTGTACGGCGTTGCCTCAAGGACTTTACATAAACTGTCCATAAATTTAATTGTTTATTTAATATAGTACCCGAGCTAGCGCCCGACTTCCGCAACTTGTTTTCGTATTTCGACAACGGCGTGTGTGCGCCTCCGCTTTTCGTAATTGCCTCTTGCATATTACTTGCCACATTTGGAGACTTATTAGTGCCGCTATTAAATTCCGCACTCCGCATCCACTCGCCAACAATGTACGCATATTATTTATGAACTCCTCATCAAAATTCACTTCAGGCAATTATTACCTAATCAAATGGATAGTTATGCTTCTTATTGAACTTAAGAAATAGATTTAACACACCAAATTAATTATTTATAAATAAATGAAGTGAAATTTTGATGTTTTCGGAAGAAATTGAAATTGGAATACGTTTAAAACGTTATCAAACATTTCGCATTACGCAAGTAATTTGAACGTATGTAATAGATACATGTAGGTAATTCTCGTGGGCGTCGAATTTCAGGCGGGAATAAGCCAGTAAATAATTTGCTCTTGTAATGCCGATAAGAACATGTGTGGCCTGTTATTATGTACCATGTTTCATGCGATGCGGGACGGCGCGTTCGTGAATTGTGACGAAAACAGCGTCGAACATTCCTTTGTGTTGTGTCGACTCGCATTACCTTGTTTTATTGCCAACCGCGGAATTTCGCGCAAACGCACCAACGGAAGGTGCAAAAACAAGAAACCCGCCCGCATCGTCGATTAATCATTCTATTGTCCGCAATTCAGGCCAGCGGAAACTACGCACATTAGACATATTAATTTTTAATTACCTATCATTTTTAAAAGACTTATATTTCTTACAGTGCTGAACCGTCTATTGGCACGGAAATTGTGTTTATAAAATACATAAAAGTCAATCGTAAAAAAGCGGTATTATCTTGCGTCTTTGCGGGAGATTTACCCACCTGTATTTATCGCGCCAACATCGCATTGCATTTTTAAATTATTCATAAATACTTGCTGTCGTCGTGAGGGTTTTATTCGATTTTTTTTGTCGCGTCCCGCACAATGTCGTAAATTTTTGGCGGTGAATATTATGCGCACCGGAATCATTGCCAGGTGATAAAAGCGACGGCGTCAGGACTCTATGACTCTAAAAACCAAAGCCAAATACCTCCAACTAACACTCCGACGGATACAAGCTTCTAAAAAACTCTATCACTATCATAACTTACAACGAATGCGTTTTTTCCGACGTCAGTGTCCTCGTAAAATGCAAATATTAAATGTTAATCCAAGTGTATTTTATTTCCAAAGAAAATTATTTATTTTCATAAAAAAAAATATTGAAGACATATTCATATATGGTGAGGCTGAGGCTGGGATGGCGTCAACTTAGAAATAGAGAGACTGCCAAAATTCAAATCCAGCGCACCGTGTACCTGCGTAATGTATATTTTGGGAGGCCGTTGTGTGTGGAGGCGCCTGGCGATGGCAGCGCGCCGCGGCGGGCTAATGTAAACGTCTGATAAAATCCTGATAAGCTCGGCGAATATTTTGTTGGAGGATTTATGCCATTCTGCTGTGTATGAATTTAAATGATAAATTATGTATATTTTACCGGCGGGGCGCGGACGCGTCCGCCCTACGACTTCGAGACTTCAATATTGACCTTAAATATGCATTATACACAAATTCCGAGCAGTTTCCTTCGAGTTTAGCGCCATTCTCAAGCTTGGGGAGGTTTAATAGTGTTTTTACGCACTTGTTTTTTGTCAGCTACAAACAAGATTCTTAATTTTGATAAGTTTTATATATTTTTTAAATCTGGCCAAGAATAATTTAAATATTTTAATATAATTAATGTTAATATTTCAATAACTGTGCGTTAAGTCCATGTGTAATCTAAAACACGTGAAATAATCCCAGGATACTATTCCTGATGGACCCGAACACGGTCCTCGCCCGCGGACGAAAAAGGAGACCCCAATCAGTTCATACGTGTCCTCTCGTCGCCGTTGTCTCTCATCGACGTGCGGCGCCCGAGAATATTTTACAGCGGCGACGAATTTGCAATTTACACCCTGGCGTGCCATTCGCATACGCATCCCTTTGTCGGCCGGCGTCCTTTTAGTACTTCGTTACAATACCCAGGCGTCTAGTCGCGTGAAAACTTCATGCCGCGTCCGAAACCCGAATCGCTCACACGCCCCGCGTCACCGGGATCTTTTTCGGCGTCGCTTTTGTCTCTTTCGTTTGACGTGCGCAATGCAGAGCGCTTTTCCGATGGACGCGCGAGATAAAAGTCGAAACGTAAAACTGAAGAATGGACCGGGAAAGGGAAAGCTAGGAGGGTAAACTAAACCGTTCAAAGTTAAATTTACTTTGTTTAAAATATACCGAGAGAGCGATAAAATTCCAAATGAGATTTCCAAACGCAAAGATATTTTTCTTGTGTTTTCTTCACTTTGTGCAAGCGAAACTTTTCATTTTATTGTATTATCAGGTAATTCAACAAAGATGCATCCACAGGTTTGAAACATTTTACGATTGTACGAAAATGAAGATAACGATGAAGAATTATTAACTTTCCGGTTTAATTAGTTAATGTAAGAAACAGATCAAAGAATAGATAATAGTTTATGGAACTCAAACAAAGATAACGCTTATCGTTGATGAAGTTAGTTAATATTTTTATGAGGAAACAAATAAAATGTTTTAAAGTTTATTCAATGGTGTATTAAATTTAACGCTATTGAACATGCTTAGAATCGATTCGAGGAAGTGGCATCATTAATAAATGAAATTGCATTTCGGTCACGTAGCCCATAGTTACACGGCGTTTGCGCATATTCCATTCCTTATCTAAAGTACCACAACACTTTATTGCAGACGCTTTCCTTGTCGGCCGAACAGTGGGTGCGTTAGTGCACGAAGAGTCTTTCAACCTGTCAGAACTAATCGAATTATATAATTATATTAGCCACAATGGCTACAATCATTGAATGACCCATTCGAAATGGGTCAGTAATAGGAGTTACTCATTTGGTTGTAAAATACATCATAAAACACGAAAATTTTATTTTCCTCAAGTTATTCACGTGTAATTTTTTTGTTTACAAGCGAAAAATAAGAGAATAAGATAAATTGTTGATTTTTCCTGCTGCCAAAACATATTTTACGTTGTTTTTTGTTGATTGTTTATAGGAATGTTAATGCAATTTCAGTTTTTTATGATTTTATGATTTTTTGCATCTTTCCGCTCTTTAAATTTCGAAATAATTCACCCGTTCAACGCGATGTGAATACTCGCTTCACGTTGCATGCGCTCGCCCACGGTGTCGGGCATAAATCATTTTCGCGTACTTAACAAAAATTACATGTTTGCTTACCGAAGGCCCGTTCGCTTTGTTCGAAGGGGTGTCGGATCCCTTCCTCTTTGCGTACTTACAATACATGCATTAAATTTACATCGCTGTGTATCTATTAGCAGATGTATGAGTAACGTGCAATACACCGCTCACCTTCTTCATAATTTTCGCTTTATTGCCCGGTATGTGCCGGAGATAATTACGCAATGTTTCACTGTTAACGCCCTGCACGTCTGCGTGTTTTATGAATATTACAATAATGTAAATAAGCTAACTGGGCTTGCATTTGTTTTCATGTGAGCGCATAAAAATTAATCTTTATGGTATTTATTTGCTTTTTATCTTTTTATGCATAAAATGTTCAATCAAGTGCAATAATAATTTCTAAAAATAAAATATTTAAAAGTATT